AGAAAGAAAGAAAGAAAGAAAGAAAGAAAGAAAGAAAGAAAGAAAGAAAGAAAGAAAGAAAGAAAGAAAGAAAGAAAGAGGGAGGGAGGGGAAGAGGGGGAAAGAGGGGGAAAGAGGGGGAAAGAGGGGGGGAAGGGGGAGGGAAACTGCATTTCCCCCATATCTTGTAGGCATTGTCAGCCAGAGGAAAAGGATTTAGCATTGCTTGATGAAGTGCACAACTAATGAATACCTGGGAAAGGTACATTTGCCTTCAGCACTTTGGGAGGTAGTTAGTACATTTCACAGGTGCAAGAGGACAGATGGTACCCTGCCTTCCTTGGTGCAATTGCCCAGTCTGCAGTGTAGATAAAGTTGGGCACTGGACCCTAGGAAGCATGACCTATATGACCAGCAAGACCAGTACCCCTTTTCTGTTGGCTGATCCTGCCACCCTCAGAAATACAGTCGTCTGCCATTCCTCAGCCTGAATGTCTGTTGCATCACCAGTTCAAGACAGCAGAAAGAGACCTAGGAACCCAGAGCAGAAAGTGAGAGAAAGTTTGGCTCGCCGAAAGCAAGTTGTACAAGGAACGCTGGTGCCTTTCACCGGGGGACGGCCCGGAATTTGTACGGGCGAGGGACGTTCCCTAAGCCACTTATCATTGGCGAGATGTCGATTTCCTCTGTCGGAATCACAGGCTGGAGGGTGAAGCGCTGCACCAGTGTGGTGAGGAAGAGGAAGTTCTCCATGCGAGCCAAGCCCTCTCCGAGACACACGCGCTTCCCTGCGGGGAGAAGATTGCAAGGGTGGGATAGGAAGGCAAGAACAGGTCCCCTTGCTCATGAGTTCTAACACTGGGAGCTACATAAGAAGGGATCTTCACCTTGTAGAACAACCTTTGCCAGAGACTATTCCTCACTTACTACAGCCGATTTGCTGTGGCTGGATTCCAGAAAGGACTTTCCACAGAGCGCCCCCTGAAATCCCTTCCATGGTCATGGCGACCCCTCACAGTGTTTTCAAGTCAACAGACGTTCGGAGCAGTGTTCCCTCTAAGATGAGTTCATGTGAGCTAGCTCACAGTTTTTTAGCCTCCGGCTCACAGATTTTTGTCTCGGCTCGGGAAGGGATGGGGCTCCACAGCAAACTAATTTAGGCAGCAGCCAAATCGCTCGCTCACAACTCTGATGCCAGTAGCAGCTCACAGAAGTAGAATTTTTGCTCGCAAGACTCCACAGCTTAGAGGGAGCATTGGGCACGAGGCTAGTTTTTATTTATACCCCTCCCTGATACGGTCCCAAACACTTTACAACATCATTCCCCACTTCTCAATTTTATCCTCCCATGACGGAGGTGAGACACTGGCCCAAGGTCACCCAGAGAGCTTTCAGAGCAGAGAGGATAACTGAACCTGGGTCTCCCAGAACCTAATCCAGTACTCTAACCACCACACCACACTGGCTCTCATAGACTCTGGTGAAGAAGACTGTCTTTTGC